TGAAATATTACGATTTTTAGTTGTAAAATGGGGTAGGATATGGCAGAAGCTAGTCAGGTTTACTCCATTTTACAACTAAAAATCGTAATATTTCAGCTATTTCTTATTCGATCTTTTTGAACTTGGTACCGTTTGATAGGTGATTAAAAATGCTAAATAAAATCATATGTGGCATTTTTTCATAAAACCAGTCATTTTCGAGTAATTTGAGTTTACAAGTTTTAAATGGCCGCCATTTTGAAATTTTAAAATGAATCAAGATGAACTTTTTTTATGACACGGGTCTCGTCTACCTTAACATACATACAAAGTTTCATAAAGATCGGTTGAAAATATTAAAAGGGGAAAATGTTTATGTAAAAAATACAAAATGGCGGATATCTGGTTAACGAAGCTGTTGTGCCCTTAAATATATTAAATTAAAACCCATTTAGTTAGAGCCACTTCTTTCATTGTATTTAATAACAAAATCCAAAACTTAAAGTAAACATGAAACAATAATATATCAAACCAGATGACAAGCAAATAAACAAACTATTAATGTAGACCTCAGGACATCTCCCTCTTAAAGTTCTTCTATGAACCTCTTGGCAGGTTTAACAATTCTGGTAGGTCTGTGTATGGTTGAAGAATGATTATGTAGGTTGGATCTTGGTGTATGTGTCTGTCTTGGAGGAAGTGTCTGTGTATGGGGGTTTTCTTTATCAGGATTTTCTCTTTCTCCAGAGGAGAACATAGGGAATAAGAATTTTGCATTCCTGATATATCTTCCTCCCTTTTTTGTTTCAACGTTATATTTCCTGTTCTCTAACTTCTCCTTGATTACCCCTTCTTCTCTTCGGTCCGATACCCAAACTTTAGCGTTTTCTGGGTAATCCTTGACCTGGGTCACTCTATGTCTTTTATTGAACTGTTGTTCCTGTTTCCTCTTTTCTTCCCTTTGTCTAAGTCTATATCTATTGTGATTTGGAGTGGCTGGAAGTAGAGTTGCTTTATTCACTGGTAGATTTGTTCTTAAAATCCGTCCCATTAATAGTTGTGATGGGCTATAACCACATTCCTTTGGCGTCGTATTGTATGCCAATAAGCCCAGATGTCTATCCTTACACTTCTTTAATATGTTTTTGAAGATTTTCACACCACTTTCAGCTTGACCATTGCACTGATGATGGTATGGTGAACTAGTTTCCACTGTGAAGTCGTATTCTGATTTGAATAGTTCCCATTCTTCTGATAGAAATTGCACACCTGAGTCTGATCTAATTGACTCGGGGATGCCATGCTTTTCAAACGATGTCTTCATTGATTTAATCAATATTGCCGTTGAACAGTTAGATACCTTATATACATCGATGTATTTGGAATAATAATCCATGAGAATTATGTATTTATCATTGTTGAATTCACAAAAATCTACTCCGATTTTCTGCCAGGGTCTTTCAGGAACCTCTGTAGGAATCATAGGATGGCGAGGAGGCACTCTGTCAGCAATGCATTGCGGGCAATAGGTTACTTTTTGTTCGATGTGATGATTAATTTTGGGCCACCATACTGACATTTTAGCCCTTTCTTTACATCTTTTAATACCTTGATGACCTTGATGAATATTATCTAACATTTCTTTTCTCAAGGATGGAGGAATCACTATTTGATTATTTCTCATAAGTATATCTTCATTGATCGACAATTCTGCTTGATGATCCCAGTATTCTTTTAATCTTTCATTTAATAGGTTCTTATTTTTAGGCCATCCTTGAATTGTAATATCTAACAATTCCTGTAATTCTTCTCTTTGATTTTTTATTATTACATCTAATTTATTAGATGATACTGGGATTGATTGAACTACTGTTCTTACACATGCTTCTGCTTCTTCTGCAAGTTTCTCAATATCTTCCTCTTCAGTTTTGTTGATTGGCGCTCTTGATAACGTGTCGGCAGTTGTTAATTGTTTTCCTGGTACCCACAATATGTCGTACGAATATCTCATTAATCTCATTTTAAATCTCTGAACTCTTAGCGGCAGTTCATCCAAACCCTTACTACTTAAAAGAGGAATCAGAGGTTTATGATCAGTTTGAATTTGAAACTTCAATCCTGTTATACAATTTTTGAAACGTTCACATGCCCATACTATTGCATAAGCCTCCTTTTCAATTTGTGCATATTTCTGTTGAGTCGGTGTTAAGCTCTTTGATGCGTAGGCCACAGGTTTTAAATGTCCTTGATGTTCTTGCAAAAGTGTTGCACCCAAACCATAAGCTGATGAATCGGCCGAAATTATAGTTCTCCTTTTCAAATTGAATGGTATTAAGGCAGGAGTTGTTTGTAAACTCTTTAAGGCTGTTTTAAATGATTGTTCTTGACTAGGACCCCAAACAAAAGCCCTATCTTTTTTTAGTAGTTCCCTCAGTGGTTGAACGATATCAGCAAGGTTTTCTATGAATTTTCCGACATGATTCAACATCCCTAGAAATCTCCTAACACTTCCCACATCACTGGGTGTGGGGAAATCGATTATTGCTTGTAAGTGTTTGGGATCTGCTTGAATCATACCAGAAGAAATAATGTGACCTAAGAATGAAATCTTTGTTTTTCCTATTTCACACTTGTCATTTAAGGTAACTCCTTCTTTTTCCAATTCTTGTAACACTCGGTCTAGTCTGCTGTCATGCTCGGGTTTACTTTCGCCGGTAATTAAAATATCATCCATATAACACAAAATTCCTGGGATGTCTCCAATAATACTTTTCATCCTGTTACAAAATATTTCCGGGGCTGTTGAAATTCCGAAGGGAAGTCTTTTAAAACAAAATCTACCAAATGGTGTTATAAATGTTGTCAATTTTGAGGAACCCTCATCTAGCGGTATTTGCCAAAACCCCGAATTAGCATCTAATTTTGAATACCATTTGGAATTCCCTAGACATCCAAGTAAGTCCTCAACAGTATTAAAAACGTTATTTTCTCTCTGTAAATGGTTGTTTAAAGCTGAAGGATCAATGCATATTCTTACACTGCCATTAGGTTTAGGTCTTACCACCATTGGATGACACCACTCCGTAGGTCCGCAAACTTCTTCAATGATTCCCGCTTCAACCATTCTTTTAAGTTCATTTTTCACTTTTTCTCTTAATGGAATAGGTATGTTTCTAGGAGTTTTTAACTCCATCGGTACCGCATTTTGTTTCAGTTTAAGTTGAGCTCCTTTCTTCATCTTACCAATCCCATTAAATAAACTTGGATATTTATTCTTGATCTTCTGTAGGTCTGTGTTGATATTCTGGTTGCTACAATATTCACTTGACTGAATGTCATTTTTAACTCCTCTGATGACCCTTAAGAACCCTAGGGCTGAGATGCATGGTTTCCCAATCAATGCTTCCTCTTGACCATTGATCACATATATTGTTTGACGAGTTGTTTTATTCTTATACTGAATTACACCTTCAAATTTACCTAAAACTGTTAAATACTTCCCCCCAGGTGTTTTTAAAACAATGTTTGATTTAGTCAATAATTTGTTTCTAGCCATTCTTGGAGGCACAATCGTCACGTCGGCTCCACTGTCAATCTTGAAATGTTCCAATTTCCCATCAAGTTTTACATCAATTTCAAATTCATTCTGTTTATTGTAGTTCCTTGTTGTCGCTCTTATTTTCTTAACTTCAGCTCTGTTAATGTAATACCCGTCCTCGCTTCTATTATCCTGTTCCAATCTGTTCTCGGTATTTTCCTGAATTTGATTCAGGGTTGGGTTTCTGTATTTATTGTTCTGATTTCTGTATTTATTATTCTGTCTCTTTTTACAACATCGGCTGAAGTGTCCTTGCAATCCACAGTAGTAGCATTCAATATTCTGAGCAGGACATTCCTCCTTAGGATGCCTCTGTCCTCCACAGTAAAAACAATTAGAAGTATATTGTCTTATGTTTTGTTTCAAGTTCGGATGTTTTTTCACTTGGTCTATTTCTGCAAAATCTTGTTCTCTTGATCTGTTAACAGTAATTTGTTGGTTCTTTATAATTTCACTTTGTTTCAATCTATTTATTGTTTCATGCAAGGTTAGGTCAGCCATCAGTTGAAGTTCCTTAGATAACTTTGAATCTGTTATTCCAACAATGAGTTTATCCCTAATAAGGCTGTCTTTCATGTCTTTGTAATCACATGAAGAAGCTAATTGATGTACATCTGTTATAAAATCGGATATCGGTTCATTTTGCTTTTGTACTCGTTGATTGAATTTCGCTCTCTCATAGGTCAAATTCACCCTTGGTGTAAAATACTTATTAAGTTTTTCCACCACTTTATCATAAGTCTTTTCATCTTCTTCTGTTACTCCTGCTGCTATTAATACATTTTCTGCATTATCACCCATGGATATTATAAGGAAATTTACTTGCTTTTCTCCATCTATTTGATCTAAATTGGTAGCATTTCTGTACCTATTGAACTTTTTTAACCATGGGCCCCAATCTTCTGGTTTAAAGGAGTATTTATCAATGAAGCCCAATGTTGCTGAATGTTGTGTCATTTTAGATGTTTGTCTTCTTACTGTTATATCTGAGTTTTCTGAGTCTGACATTGTAATGCAGCATATATATTAGACACCCTGTTACTCAATTTATTGGGTCTTTACCGCTGCCACCATGTTGTGCCCTTAAATATATTAAATTAAAACCCATTTAGTTAGAGCCACTTCTTTCATTGTATTTAATAACAAAATCCAAAACTTAAAGTAAACATGAAACAATAATATATCAAACCAGATGACAAGCAAATAAACAAACTATTAATGTAGACCTCAGGACAGAAGCGATTTTGGAAAAAATGTTATTCTTCATTTTCTCTTTATTTTGACCCAAGGAATCACTAGGTAAAATATGTCCCCACCTTTTTTGAACACCCTGTATATGACAAAGCTGAAAGCTACAATGTAAAAAGTGGCAAAATTGAAAGTGAATTTCCTTGCAAAAACGTGTATTTTAATCATACTTTACCTTTGAGATCTCCTAAGATGACTGAAGCTTCTATCATTTCTTCTGTCAACATTTTGTTTTTACTGTTTTTGGGCCTCACTTCTACTTTTTCAGGAGGAGAGTGATTCAAGACTGATTCTGTTTCATTTGTATCCTGATCACAAAGAGTAATAAGTCAAGGATTCAATTAATTTACAACAAATGCCTAATTAATTCAATGCCTATTAATTATCAATAACTAATGTCTGGATTTTAGTAAAGGAATTTGATCAGCTGGACAACTAGGAAGTTGTCCAGAATTTTTGGCAAACACTACCATAGACTAACCAACACAAGTAGACTTCTCAACACAATGTAAATTTTGAAGCTTGTTTCTTGTGACTAGTTCATGTGCTGTGAACTGTGACACTGGGCGCTAGTGTTATGAAATTTAGTTTCTATTATTTTAGGGTTAATTTCTTGATTTGTGCTTTACTGTTTGGTTTTATAACTAGGGGACGAGTTATTGTTTATGACTGGATCGTATTATTTGGTTAAACGCGGTTTCAAATGACTGAAATAACAAGAAACAAATTGTAAACAAAACACAACCGCTACAGTACACCGTACAGAACTAACAATAAAATTGTCTTCAGCTGTTCCATAAGGATGAGAAATCTACTAGGGAGTGTGTTTTATCTATAACACTACACATGGTTGTAGTGTACATAGTCTAGAAGAACATAGATTATTAAGCCCCTGGACTACTATTTCTTTGTCTTTGTTCATTTTATATATTTCATACTCCTCCAGTGTGTCCAATTTGTTACTTTTCCAGCAATAATGTAGAATTTCCAACAGCCGGTCCTAATACCACTCATTGAGTGATTAAAATCGACAAGGTATTGAGCGAATGCAGGAGTAGTCCAAATTTGTGTCTAACATCAATTATTCATTCAAATTTCAAAGCTGATATGTTTCTTTGCAATGCAACATCGTCACAGCTTGCAACACGTCAAATCATCAAAATTTACTAGGGGTCAGCCCCAAAACAATTAATATTTTACTACGACAATAATTTTTGTGGGCAAGTGAAGTACTTCCAAGAACTCGTTGAGTCAGTAGTTTATATCATTTAAGTTTTATCACTTTTATTCCTTTATGACTTTTATGACCAGAATAAAAACACCAGAAAGGCAAAACAATACATTTTAATACTTTACTTTAATACTTTTCAATGAAAGGGCGACCATACTGTAATAAACCTTTAGAGAATAAAACTTAGGTTTTATAAAGCAAAACTGAATACAAGAATTAAACAGAATAAATAAACAAATCTGACTAAAACATTGAGAATGTCAGCTGACATTTTTTACAGTACTTAGAATATCACCACATTCTTCCGCTCTAGTAAATTTTATACGCATCAAAGGGATCACATCATTTGTCCGAGTTTTCAACTGTCCGAGTTTGTTAAAAATTACAAAATATTAGAAAAATCTGTTGTCCGAGTTTTGATAAATAACTAATAATATTTAAATAAATCAACTGTCCGAGTTTTCATTTGTCCGAGTTTATTTAATTATTAAAAAAGTATCAAAATATCAAGTGTCTGAGTTTTCAACTGTCCGAGTAGAGTCAACATCTAAAAAGTGACACCGCGCGCCTAGACTGGCGTTTGCCAACCCAAAAAAAAACTAGCCGGCCGCCGTTGTCTGCAGCTGCTAAATAGTCATAGTCATACACTCAAACTTGTTGTTGTTGTGTTGACTGTAGGTTATGTTGTGTTTGTTTCACACGACAATGAGTTTTAACCTCAAGTTGTCGGTTTATATTACTCACACCGCATTTCCTCACGTCTTTGAGACGGATTATTGGCCTAAGGCCATGATCTGCGGGTTTACTAAGTGTAGAAAGTGTCTTCGAAGTACCAAGCCGGGTTGAGCCCTAGCTTGTGAAACACATCGATAATACATTTAAAACTCCTTTTATTCCAGGTTTATATTTTCAATTTTATATTTGTAGCCAACTTTAGGCTGCCTTTATTGAGTATATTCAAGAAATTCATGATAGTAATTAGTAGGAAATTTAATTCTCTTTCAGAATATCACCTTCCACTTTGGTCGATTTCCTCACCGTTTCAAAGCTATTTGCAAAAACGTTAAGCAACCTCCAGGTTTATAGTAGTGGAAAATACTGAATTAAAGATGTTGTTGTTAAACTTTGTACAATTAAATCTACAGTTCTACTGAACCGATTTTATTAATTAATAGGTCATTGGATAGCCTAATTTGTGAAGATTTGCAAATAATTATGAAAGTACTGTTGAGGTTGCAAGCAAGATCGTTTGGCTATAAATCGATGATAAATAACTCCATTTTTTGAACAATTTGTGTTGGTTGTGATTTATCTGCGTGCTTTAATGAAATGGAAGCTGATATTTCAATGAAGGTTCTTAGGTCAAAACAAATAGAATAACGTAATTAGAATTAAGTAAATATATCTAAAACTAAATTCCATATCCAAGATATAATCAAATTTATATTTTCTGATTGAGCGATACAGTATCTTGAACTTAACTGATTAAAACTATCAATATCTCAAGTGAAAGCCTTTGAAGTATTTTAAGACCAAGACATATAAAATAACTTAAATAAAAATAGAGTTATGTATCATTGATTGCAGATAGGTACTGAAACGATATTATTTATTGTTGATTCGTAATTCAGCAGTGTGCTTTAGGTAGTCCGATCTTAATAATCAATAGCTCAAATGAAAGCTGGTATTTCACTAAGTTTTTTACACCAAAATGTATAATGTAATTAGAACTGCTGGAATACATCTTTAATTGAAGAGAAAAAAATATTTAGTTGAGTAATACATTAGATAAATTAATGATGATGCTTGATGACAAATATGTGCTTGCATAGCTTTATTTTAAGACAAAAATTATGAAAATCGGGCAGGTAGAAGAGCCCTCCTGTAGCCTAAACCATCGCCTGCCTGCGAAACATTGAACTTGAAAAAAACTAAATTTAACTCCCATAAGAAATGTACACTTTGTACAGGGAGGCAGTTTGTGCATAACTCAAAATATACGTCAAAATGAATGCCGATGCTTGATGGCAAATCTGCGGTACGTCCACACCGCACGCCGCCTTTAGTTTAAGGCCAAAATTATGAAAATCGGTCGGGTAGAAAAGCTAACCCGACTCGGAAAATAAAAACCAATTATTTTTATAGATGGCAATAATTGGTTTACCAGTATGAATAAGAATAAGAATAAGAATAAGAACTTTATTCAGCCAGAAAATATTTCATGCAAATACATTTTATAAATGCATAATCTAATCATACGAAACATGTGTTAATAATTAAACAGCTTATTGTTATATTGTTATCTAATTAATTTTTCTTTGATTAAATGTTGTTGTTAACAATTTGCATTTATGTTTAAAGTGTGTTCCTTATGTTTAATGTGTGATTCTAATGTTATGTGCTTAAACTGTACCATCTATAATATTGTTTTTTTATTTCACGATTCTGAATCAACCACTCGACGGATTTTCATGATTTTTGTGTTGCGAGAAAGATAATTTTGAGAACTAGGGAATGTCGAAGCCATAATTTTAGTTTAAGGTCCCAGTTTTTTTTAAATTAAGTTTTAATTTTTTTTAAGTCCAGCAGCCGACGCTAAGATTCTAAACTAGCTTTTGGCATAAAATAATTTGCTTAACATAACAGCTGTAAACATTCAGCTTTTGTGTCACAAATTCAGCATTTGGATAAAAATGTAAAGACATACTTAGGGTGTACTATTTATACTATGTGTAATGCTAATCATTGGTACGTTCAGTTCTTCTGTAAGAGGATGACAGATTAATTAAATATACATAGTAAAATACTAGGATGTTCAAATTATTTTTTAAATCAATCTTTGTAATCTTCGATTTGTTTTAGAGCAATATAATTTGTTTTAACTAACAGCTGGTTAAATATAAACTATGGAACTATGAGGTTATTTTATTTACTCTTATTTTGTCATTGATTATAGAAAATAAGTAAGATTAGTAGGGATAATTAGACATCAGTTTAAACCATAGTTTTAACCAAAATTAATTATACCACAGTTACAAATCGAGGCTCTGTACACGAGTCTTAATAAAAAAGGATAAATGCAAATTATTTTACTGCTCCAATTTTCAAGGAAAGATTAGAAAAATAACAATGTTTACATGTCTTAATTCTTAATGGTAGCTTTTTGTTTACAATTAATGTTTGTCTGCTTTAACTTTGTTTGGATTAGGCCGGGAAATATTGATGTCATAAAAAGAAGATCAAGAATAATCAGGAATCACGATTTTAAATTACCACCACAACCTCAGCTGGGTTTTATACAAAGATAAACAGATGGATGACATAGATTGAACACTACGTCAACTGGCCTAGGATACTGCAATTAGACAAACCATCCTTTTATGAAATCGTGTTCAGTTGTGGTTACGTTTAGGGGCACCTATATCAGCGCCCCCAAACGTGAAAATATCACTTTTATTTCAACTATGAATATATTGTAGTTTAAATTAACTAATATGGGAAATTACGATGTACGTTTATTCAATGAGGGTGGGTAATTATCAAGGATAGAACTGATAACGGTGTGGATAATAAACATTGACAATTACGTCATTAGCTTTACTAGCGTGTTTACTTATTATATTCCTGCTACATGTGACCACTTATTTTTTTCAAATGAATGTTATTTGAACCAAACAGCTGTTTCAAAACAAACTGTTATTGTTTTTACTTTTCTTTGTTTACACTTATTTATTTAGCAATTAATGCAGTGAAATTGATATAAAAGGATAGGTGTGACGATTTATGTGTACTGTGAATTTTATTGGATATTATCGTTTTATTTTTGGCCGTTTCTATTCAGATCTACTGGAAATTGTGTATAGTAGTTGTATTGTAGTGATAATAATTATGGAAGAGGCAGGTATGCTATGGAAGGTGGTATCGTTGACTAGGTCTATCCACTTCTCAATTGACTATTTCTCTATACCGTAGGCTACTTATAATCAGAGTGTGTCTGTGCGAATTGGCTGCAAATCTCACTTCAACGCTTTTCACATCGTAAAAATTGCAGGATTGCTGTTTTATTGTAAAATTATC